CCCGAATCCCCACCGACTCACCACACGGTGTGGTCTCCACTCCGTTTGGGGGCCCCCGAGCCCCAACACATGTTCAACTCACTGCAGTCATTGCAGCAATACATGGTGGGTTCCGGAAACCTGAAAGTTGCCTTCTCTTGGGGGCGCACGTTTTGCCGCGGCCCGCTGCCGCCAGTCTTCGGCCAGCTGCAGACAGCGGATACGGCCTTGTGTTACTTCCGCCGCTTTCGCAGCGCGTCCGCCGCCTTCCGCCGAGGAAGGGACATCAACTCCCTCGGTCCTCGAAGGCGAGGCCCTTTCTTGAATGCACCACATGTTTTCATTCACTTGTTTCCATCCTCCTTCACCTCCTTCTCATCCTCCCCTCCCTCAGATGCTCCCCCATCGTCCTTCCGGTCCTCTTTCTGAGTCTAACTGTGCTTCTCCTTCTCCGATCCTCCTCCTGATCCTCCTCTTCCTCCCTCTCCGTTGCTCTTATCGTTCCTGTTCGTCTTGTTCCTCCTCGCTCTCCTTTAAAGTCGTTATGTTCCTCGACCTCCTGATCGTGCACTCCTCAACTTCTTTGACACCCGTCCTCTTCAAATTTTCCCTCCTACATGGTGCCTCCTTCATGCAAGTCGGCGTTCGATGTCGCGAGCCTTATCGGCATTCACCCAGATGTCGCATTCGTCATCAGCCACCCTCCTTCCAGCCTCCCTCCTCCTGCACATCGTCCTGTAACAACTCCTGATGTTGGTTCTCCTCTGCTAGCATTTAGCGTGGGGCAGGCCGGAAGTGGGGATGTGTGGATAACTGGGGCCCATCTGCGCGGGGCCCGTAATACGACGACGGCCATGCCTGGGCACCCGACTGCACGACAGAGTGGCCGATGCGCACTCCGAATTTCTCAATCAGCGTCGGGGAGGGGGGGGGGGGGCGTCGCCCCGGCCGACAGCCCCACATCGACCCTCGTCGCGGGCAGCCACCGCGCGCCAAAGGCGCTCCGACCCCCGTCGCGGCGCGCCGACGAGGCGAGGTTGGCCCCCCGTCGGAGGGATACCCTCCCCACGCTTGTTAAGAGACCCCAGAGTGCCTTGCCTGCTCTCGTGAGATTATGCTTAGGTCGGGCATGTCCCCCTACAGGGGGATTCTGAACGAAAAAGTCAAAATACCCCCAGAAAGCTCAAACATGATCAAACATAATCAAAGCAGACTATTTTTTGTTTCTATGTTTGAGTGCTCCTCCTGTAGAGGGGCAAGCCCGACTTGAGGGCCCCCCCACGCTTATGAACAAAAAAGCCAAGAATACCCTGCATGCTCTCGCTGCGCGAGGTTAAACTACGCCTGCGAGGCTGGGGGAACGGACGTCCTGTGGCCCCAAAGGGTCCCTGGATGTGGACACGCTTCGAGCCCAGGGAGACCGAGAAGGCACCCGGGTCCAGCGCCCGCCGAGGGCTCCGAGGCGCGATCTCCCCGAGGCGATGGCGGTGGATGAAGCCCGGCCTCCAGATTGCCCTCGGGACCCGTCGCTGGTTCCGTTGCCTTGAATCCGTGTTTGCGCTGATCCTCGGGGGCGCGCAAATATGGACTAGCGATCCATGGATTTGGCGCGCGGTCGCCAGATCCATGGATCGGGGGAGGTGCCCTCCCCAAAATGCGGCCCGTGCCGCCTCGCACGGTGGCGGAAATCCGCGATTTCCCATGGAAACGGAACCCGTCGCCAATCCACGCCCCCTTGATCCATGTTTGCGATCGCCTGAGATCTGGCCCTCCGTTGCTGCTTCCTCCCCGCGGTCTCCCCCGAGCCAGGGGCGGCGGAGGCGCGCAAGGCGATGTTAGACCTCGTTGGGGAAACGGGCAGCGGATCGATCCTGTCGAGGTGGCACTGCACGCAGTGGGTCCCGCAAGGCGTCCCGGCTCCTCTCCGCCATCCCCCCCTTGTTCATCAGAGTTTCAAGCCTCTGTTGCTCGATGCTCAGGAGTGTGCACCGATGCTCCAACACCTTTAAGTGGCCCCATCGCCGAGGGACGAGAACGGGGAAGCACCTCTCCGACCTCTTGAGGTCGCAATGATTTCTCCCCACCTCCTCCTCCCTCCTCCCAGCTTTTGCGAGGCCCTTCCGGGGCTTGGCCGCAAGGCGGCGCGACGCCATCGCTCAGCTCATGGTGATGTGGGGGTACTCGTCCAGGCCCCACGCGCTGCGGCCGCCGGTGTTCTTGTACTGGTAGGCCCAAGTCCACGTGTTGGAGCAGCGGTAGGCAATGTCGGAGCTGTGCCCATCAGTGCTGAGGAACCCTGGGTCGGCGGCCGCTGGTGCCGAAACGAAGCGCGTGTACTTCGTCACCCCGGACGTGCGTCCGTTCAGGGCTGCCACGAGGGAGTCGATGGCGGCGATGCCGGAGTGCGTCGCGTCGCCCGTGACGTAAACGGGCATGCCATCCAGGCCACTGGTGTAGGTCGCAGTCGGCGCGTCGGTGACGACCACGGCGGAGACAAGCGTCGGATATGTCTTCGCAAACTCCATGGCACCCTCGCCGCCCTCAGAGGTGCCACTCACGATGACCTTGTCCGCGTCGCCGTTGAAGTGCCCGATGACGAACGCCGTGATGGCCTGGGCCTTGGCGAGACAAGCGGCAGTCCAACCCGGGGTCGCACTTCCAGTCCAGCACTGGGGCATGACGACCACGCCAGGGAACGTGTCGGCAAAGGTGCAGTCGGCCATGGGGCATCCCGTGTCCGAAGACGTACCCAGGTAGTACGGCGACGTGGCCGACTCATCGTACGCCGCAGAGTAGCTGCCGCCGAGGCACCAGCAGGAGCGGTTGTCGAAGGATGTGCTCTGGTTCCTGGCCAGCATCCGAGCGAAGCCCTGCGAGTTCTTCAGGGTCCACTTGCGCTCTCCGTGGCTGTGCAAGTCGACGTGCACCGGGTACGGGTACAGCGAGTTGTTGTTCCACGTGGGGGGGAGGTACAGCTGGTACGGCATGCCGTCTATGGCGGTCATGAGGCGGCGGGCGCCGAGACCGGCGTTCGGGAACGTGATGGGGTCCGGCTCCTTCCACTCCGACTGCGTGGAGAAGTTCCACGCGGCAGAGCACGCATCCGACGCCAGCATGGGCGGGCCCAGCCTCGTCTCGCTCCACTGCGTCGTCATCCTGGCCGTGCTGGGCGACTCTGGGACCTCATCCCCGTGCAGGTGGAGGGAGACTGCGCACCCCGCCAGCGCAGCCACAGCCGCGGCTCGTGCGAGCACCATGGCTCGCCGAAGCGAAAGGAAGTGATTTCCGCCCTCGCGGCGGTACCAGGCAACACGCAAGGCTCGAGCAGCGACGGCAGCAGCCATGCACGATCGACGAACTGGGCGATTGATGATCACGTGCGGCTTGGCGTGCTGCCGAATCCTGGGTGACACGTGATGGGCACATGTGTCAGCCACTACCAGAAGTAGGAGAGGAAGAAGGAGGAGGAGGAGGAGGAGGAGGAGGAGGAGGAGGATATTTCCCCATATTTTCTGGGGAATCGACGATGAATTGTGTCTGTGTTTTTCCCCTCCCGAATTGAGGACGACGTCAGCCTCCCCCCTGACCTCCGTGTCGGGATACTCGGATGGCACCGACTTCTGCTGTCCCCTCCACCGCCTTCCGCCGTCCTCCCACTGGCGAGACCTCTGCGGCAGACCCTCCAACTGCTCGAGAACTGTCCTTCCCCTAGAGTTCCTACCTCCTCCTCCCACTCCTCTCCTGTGTCCCTCCCTCCTCCCAGCTTTTGCGAGGCCCTTCCGGGGCTTGGCCGCAAGGCGCCGCGACGCCATCGCTCAGCTCATGGTGATGTGGGGGTACTCGTCCAGGCCCCACGCGCTGCGGCCGCCGGTGTTCTTGTACTGGTAGGCCCAAGTCCACGTGTTGGAGCAGCGGTAGGCAATGTCGGAGCTGTGCCCATCAGTGCTGAGGAACCCTGGGTCGGCGGCCGCTGGTGCCGAAACGAAGCGCGTGTACTTCGTCACCCCGGACGTGCGTCCGTTCAGGGCAGCCACGAGGGAGTCGATGGCGGCGATGCCGGAGTGCGTCGCGTCGCCCGTGACGTAAACGGGCATGCCATCCAGGCCACTGGTGTAGGTCGCAGTCGGCGCGTCGGTGACGACCACGGCGGAGACAAGCGTCGGATATGTCTTCGCAAACTCCATGGCACCCTCGCCGCCCTCAGAGGTGCCACTCACGATGACCTTGTCCGCGTCGCCGTTGAAGTGCCCGATGACGAACGCCGTGATGGCCTGGGCCTTGGCGAGACAAGCGGCGGTCCAACCCGGGGTCGCACTTCCAGTCCAGCACTGGGGCATGACGACCACGCCAGGGACCGTGTCGGCAAAGGTGCAGTCGGCCATGGGGCATCCCGTGTCCGAAGACGTACCCAGGTAGTACGGCGACGTGGCCGACTCATCGTACGCCGCAGAGTAGCTGCCGCCGAGGCACCAGCAGGAGCGGTTGTCGAAGGATGTGCTCTGGTTCCTGGCCAGCATCCGAGCGAAGCCCTGCGAGTTCTTCAGGGTCCACTTGCGCTCTCCGTGGCTGTGCAAGTCGACGTGCACCGGGTACGGGTACAGCGAGTTGTTGTTCCACGTGGGGGGGAGGTACAGCTGGTACGGCATGCCGTCTATGGCGGTCATGAGGCGGCGGGCGCCGAGACCGGCGTTCGGGAACGTGATGGGGTCCGGCTCCTTCCACTCCGACTGCGTGGAGAAGTTCCACGCGGCAGAGCACGCATCCGACGCCAGCATGGGCGGGCCCAGCCTCGTCTCGCTCCACTGCGTCGTCATCCTGGCCGTGCTGGGCGACTCTGGGACCTCATCCCCGTGCAGGTGGAGGGAGACTGCGCACCCCGCCAGCGCAGCCACAGCCGCGGCTCGTGCGAGCACCATGGCTCGCCGAAGCGAAAGGAAGTGATTTCCGCCCTCGCGGCGGTACCAGGCAACACGCAAGGCTCGAGCAGACGGCAGCAGCCATGCACGATCGACGAACTGGGCGTTGGTGATCACGTAAGGCTTGGCGTGCTGCCGAATCCTGGGTGACACGTGATGGGCACATTTGTCAGCTACTACGAGAAGTAGGAGAGGAAGGAGGAGGAGGATATTTCCCCACATTTCCTGGGGAATCGACGATGAATTGTGTCTGTGTTTTTTGTCCCTCCTGAATTGAGGACGACGTCAGCCTCCCCCCTGACCTCCGTGTCGGGATACTCGGATGGCACCGACTTCTGCTGTCCCCTCCACCACCTTCCGCCGTCCTCCCACTGGCGAGACCTCTGCGGCAGACCCTCCAACTGCTCGAGAACTGTCCTCTCCCTAGAGATCCTCCCTCCTCCGCCCACTCCTCTCCTGTGTCCCTCCCTCCTCCCAGCTTTTGCGAGGCCCTTCCGGGGTTTGGCCGCTGGGCGGCGCGACGCCATCGCTCAGCTCATGGTGATGTGGGGGTACTCGTACAAGCCCCACGCGCTGCGGCCGCCGGTGTTCTTGTACTGGTAGGCCCAAGTCCACGTGTTGGAGCAGCGGTAGGCAATGTCGGAGCTGTGCCCATCAGTGCTGAGGAACCCCGGGTCGGCGGCCGCTGGTGCCGAAACGAAGCGCGTGTACTTCGTCACCCCGGACGTGCGTCCGTTCAGAGCAGCCACGAGGGAGTCGATGGCGGCGATGCCGGAGTGCGTCGCGTCGCCCGTAACGTAAACGGGCATGCCATCCAGGCCACTGGTGTAGGTCGCAGTCGGCGCGTCGGTGACGACCACGGCGGAGACAAGCGTCGGATATGTCTTCGCAAACTCCATAGCGCCCTCGCCGCCCTCAGAGGTGCCACTCACGATGACCTTGTCCGCGTCGCCGTTGAAGTGCCCGATGACGAACGCCGTGATGGCCTGGGCCTTGGCGAGACAAGCGGCGGTCCAACCCGGGGTCGCACTTCCAGTCCAGCACTGGGGCATGACGACCACGCCAGGGAACGTGTCGGCAAAGGTGCAGTCGGCCATGGGGCATCCCGTGTCCGAAGACGTACCCAGGTAGTACGGCGACGTGGCCGACTCATCGTACGCCGCAGAGTAGCTGCCGCCGAGGCACCAGCAGGAGCGGTTGTCGAAGGATGTGCTCTGGTTCCTGGCCAGCATCCGAGCGAAGCCCTGCGAGTTCTTCAGGGTCCACTTGCGCTCTCCGTGGCTGTGCAAGTCGACGTGCACCGGGTACGGGTACAGCGAGTTGTTGTTCCACGTAGGGGGGAGGTACAGCTGGTACGGCATGCCGTCTATGGCGGTCATGAGGCGGCGGGCGCCGAGACCGGCGTTCGGGAACGTGATGGGGTCCGGCTCCTTCCACTCCGACTGGGTGGAGAAGTTCCACGAGGCAGAGCACGCATCCGACGCCAGCATGGGCGGGCCCAGCCTCGTCTCGCTCCACTGCGTCGTCATCCTGGCCGTGCTGGGCGACTCTGGGACCTCATCCCCGTGCAGGTGGAGGGAGACTGCGCACCCCGCCAGCGCAGCCACAGCCGCGGCTCGTGCGAGCACCATGGCTCGCCGAAGCGAAAGGAAGTGATTTCCGCCCTCGTGGCGGTAGCGGGCAACACGCAAGGCTCGAGCAGCGATGGCAGCAGCCATGCACGATCGACGAACTGGGCGATTGACGAGCCCTTGAAACTCCGGAAATCTAGGTGACACCGGAGTTGACGCCACTCTGGGTTTCTGCTTCCACCTCCCCATGCCTTCCGCCGCACTTCCGCGGGCCTCCCACTGCCGGGACCTGGAGCGCGTTTCTTTATGTTCGGTGATGACGGGCGTCATGGGGGGGGGGGGGGGGCGAGGCGGGGGTATGACGTAACGCGCCGCCCCGCCGAGTGGCTCCGGCACCGCAGCCGCGCCCGCGCGCGCGACGCGACGAGCGACGAGCGACGAGCGACGAGCGACGAGCGACGAGCGACGACGACGACGCGAGCAGCACGTAGGTGGCGATATGCCCCACTGCGCCTGTGTACACCACAACGCTCGCGTGCACCACAGCGCGCGTATACCACAGCGCCTGCGTACACCGCAATAGCCGTGTGCAACGCAGCGCTTGTGTACAACATAGTGCTTGCGTGCACTACAGCGCAAGTGTACATGTGTACACCGCAGCTACCATGTGCAACACAGCGCCTGTGTACACCACAATGCTTGCGTGCACCGCAGCGCCTGTGCACGCCACAGCGCGTGTCTATACCACAGCATCCGCGTGCAACGCAGCGCTGGTGTACACCACAATGGCTGCGTGCATAGGACAGGTAGAGGGAACATGTACGTGAGGATCTGCTGCGGACGACTAGACACCACGCCGGGAAAGTGTTGATAATCGAATGCGACGTTCTTCCCTCCTCCATCCTCCTCCACCTCCGCCACCTCCTCCTCTTGCTTCTCCTCCTCCTCCTTACCCCCTGTCGTGAATCCGTCCACTTGCTTCTCGGACGGCCAATTTAGCTGGAGCCTCCTGGACGCAGATGGGAGGAGTTAGGGTGACGCGGGCGACTCGGGAAGTCTCGTAGATTCCAGCGGCGCTCCGTTGTCCTTAAGGATTGATTTCTATTGTTGTCTGTGGAATCGACAAGCGCTGCATTCAGTCATCGTCAAAACAGTCTACATACAACAGTGGTGCTGTGTTGCACACGGTTGCTGTGATGCACACAGGCGCCGTGGTGTACACAGGCACTGCAATGCACGCAAGCATTGTGGTGTACACTGGTGGTGTGTTGCACACGGCTGATGTGGTGTACGCAAGCGTTGTGGTGTGCACAAGAGCTGTTGTGCCCGCGGGCACGGTGGCACAAACTGACGCTGTGTTGCACGCGGCTGTTGTGGTGTACATAGGCGGTGTGGTGTACACACGCGCTGTGGCGCAAGCAGGCACTGTAGTGTACACAGGCGTTGTGGTGCAAATCGCAACCTACATGCTGGCGCTACCCGTCCTCCGTCATTCCTAAGCATTCCCAGACGCCGCTGGCGCGAAACGTGACGACATCGACCCCCTCCCCCCCCTGGATGATCGAAGTCATCGGCCCGAAATTAAAAGCAGGCTTCAGCCGCGTCCGCGCACACGACGACTATGAGCGACGAGCGACAAGCCACGAGCGACGACGACGACGACGACGACGACGACGACGACGACGACGACGACGACGACGACGACTGCGGACCAGACTCCCATGCGGACTCCTACGCGGACACCTACGCGGATTCCAAAAAAACGCACGGCGGCAGTGCCCGGAGCGCACTGGGGGGGGGAGCGTTACGTCATAGGGGGGGGGAGCGGGGGCCATGACGCCCGTCATGCCCCAAGCAATCAAGAAGCGGGCTCCTGCGCTGCTCTGCTTTCGAAAATAATCCT